TTATAAAATAGGCTGATGTGTGTGTGTGTGTGTGTGTGTGTGTTCACTTTTTAATATTTGTTAGCAACAGCTCCAGCTGGAACTAAAGGCCTTTCTGGAGAAACTCGGAGTCTACGAACGAATTAAACAGTCCTGGGATGAAACAGCAGAGTATATTAAGGTGAGTACCGGGAGGAGATTTCAACATTGGCACAGTTTAACTACCATATGGATATTTCAGCCGGAATTTGCTGATATTTTGTGTTTAGAAGCAGAGCCAAAACACTGAGACTAAAATTAAGGAGGCGTTTGAAAAGCTTCACCAGTTTCTGGAAAATGAAGAGGCAGCCAGGATGATGACGCTGAGGAAAGAAGAAGAGCAGAAGAGTGAGATAATTAAAAAGAAGATTGAGGAGATTAGATCAGGGATGTTATCTCTCTCACGCATTATTGAGTCCATCGAAGAACAACTAAAAAGGAATGACTTCACATTTCTTGTGGTAAGAAGCACTTGGTTTGGTTTCTGGACTTTGAATGTTTAAATTATGTTTTATGATGTTTTATTTCAAAAGATCAAAGAAAACTGCATATTTTTCCATTATATTGAGTAGAAATTGCAGAATGTAATTTTAAAAAATCAGCAAGGATGCTTTAAGCTGATCAAAATTAAAGACATTTATAATATCCCAAAAAGTTTCCATTTCCAATAAATGCTGTTCTTTTAAACTTTCTATTAATTTCTATTTCTATTTTTAAAAATCCCACACAATATGAAGCAGCACAACTGTTTTCAACATTGATGATAATAAGTATTGTTTCTTGAGCAGCAAATCAGCCTATTAAAATGATTTCTGAAGGATGACACGATTACATTTGAAAATGTATTAAAATAGAAAACAATTTTAAATTGTAATAATATTTCATAATATTACTGTTTTATTATATTTTTGGCCAAATATATGCAGCTTTGGTAGATTTTCTGATCACATAATAAAGATTAATCTTTCTGTTTTTATCAATATTATTTCTAGAACTACAAGGCTACAATTGAAAGGTGAGAAGGGTTTTTTTTTCTTTAACTTCTGGTTTTCAAACCCACATCAGTACTGACTAAATGTTGTTTCAGAACAAAGTGTAAAATGCGGGATCCTACCAGACCTTCAGGAATGCTCATCAATGTAGCAAAACATGTGGGTAACATGACCTTTGAAGTATCGAAGAAACTACAAGCCAACGTCCGATACAGTGAGTACTGAGCAGATCAAATAAATCTTCTCAATCTTCTCACACAGAGATGCAGCAGAATGAAAAAAACACACGGTCTAGAGATGCATTTTAAAAGATGGGAGCCATTCACACAGAACGTGTTTTTGCTTTGGAAATACTCCAGACACAGAATGTGTCAATGCGAGATGTAAACTCTGAACAAAAGTCATAATTGTAGGACATAAACTTGCAATTGCAAGAAAAAAAGTCAGAAATGTGAGATAAAATGTCAAAATTACCTTTTTTTTAAATTAATGGCAGAAAAAAAAGAATTGTGAGATGTAAACTCAGAATTCTGAGAAGAAGAAGTCAGAATTGGAGATATAAACTCAAAATTGTGTTATACACGTGCAAATCGGAGAAAAAAAAGTCAGAATTGCAAGCTTTTATCTTGCTTGTCTGAAAAGGAAAACCCAGAATTGTAAAATATAAACTCAATTTTGAGATATACAGTTAAGAATTCAGAGGGGGAAAAAAGAAAAAAAAGTCAGAATTGTGACATGGAAACAGAATTGAGGGGAACACGTGAGATTTGCAAGATTTTAAATCATAATTCTGAGTTTTGACTTTTGGATTGGGAGTTTATTCTGAGTTTGTATCTCAGAATGTCAAAAAAAGAAAGAAAAGAAAAACAAGAAAAGTCAAAAGTGTGAGATATAAAGTAACAATTTTTTTTATTCTATGGCAGAAATGGGCTTCCATAGTTCTAAAAATGCAGCACTCAAGATTAACGAAGTTTAAGACTTTGCTTTCCCCCCATTCCACTGCCAGTGTCTTGCATTTTTCAAAGCAAAATACTTTGTGTGTGAATGTCTTAAAAGTGAGTACATCTCTATCTCTTTCTCTCCAGCCCCAGTAACCTTTGACCCCAACACCGCCCATCCTTATCTGCTCGTGTCGGATGATCTGACCTGTATAACTTACACTGACGAGCATTTCCAACAGCTTCCAGCAAACCCAGAGAGATTCGACGGCTACACAAGCATTCTAGGTTCTGAGGGCTTTAACTCGGGGACTCACTGCTGGGACATCGAGGTGGGCGACAGCACAGCCTGGGCCGTGGGAGTGATCACAGAGTCCGCATACAAACACAGACAGACCCCCTCCAAAACGGGCCTGTGGTATGTGGGCTTCTGCAATGGTAAATACGGGAAGGGCTATTCTCCAGAGATCCTCGCCCTTCTACGGGTCACCCAGAGAATTCAGAGGATCAGGGTGCAGCTGGACTGGGACAAGGGCAAAGTCACATTCACCGACTCGGCTCGTAATATCGGTCTGCATGTGTTTAAACACACGTTCACTGAGAGAGTGTTCCCTTACTTTTATAGTCACTGTATGAAACATCCAATGAGGATCATACCGGTAAAGACAGCTGTGGAAGCACACGTTTAGAGCCAATACAACTTTTAAACTGGTGAAGTTAAGCAGTTAAAGCTTAACTGTGATATCAATAATACAACAATATAAAATCATCTTAAGAAGACAGTAGCAAGTACAGTACTGCAATAAAACATTACTGCATGATGATAATGATTTGTTTTTGCTGCCTATCTTTTGGAACAACCTCTGTGTATGGATTGTAGAGTTGGGGTATTTGGACTCAGACTGCAATTATGAATGAAGACGGACTCGAACTTCTAAGGATTTGGACTTGACTCTGACTCGACAAGGTGAAATCAGACCCAGCACTGGTAGGTTGTGTCTGTGATGTGCTAAAATGCTAGTCTAGGTAGACTTGGTTCACTTGGTTTTGGAATGGAGCTTATTTCTTATATTGTGGCAACAGCACAATTATTGCATTTTGGAGCCTTTTTTACTGAAGCACCATTATTTCAAGTTGTATGTTTAGCTATATTAAGACCTGATACGACAGACTGGCTTGTTTAACAGAATTGATCTGTTTAATCAGCCCCATCCACAATTAAAGGAGCGGTGTACTCAGAATGACGAATTCCAAAGGAAAAGCTGGGAGCTTTGATTCCTGTGAAAGTAACCTGTGAAGAAAGACAAAGGGAACCATTTTAGTACAAATTCTTGTTGTTTAAATAGTTTTAGTAGAGAGCATTCCAAAGCTGGAAACTACTGTTTAGAAGGTGGGAGTAGGTAACATTTTTTGATGTTTTTGATAAATAAAAGTCTCTTATGTTCACCATAGATTAAAAAAATACAGTAAAACAGTAATATTGTGAAATAATAATACAGTTCAAAATAACTGTTTTCTATTTGAATATATTTTAAAATGTAATTTATTCCCGTGATAACAAATCAGAATTTTCAGCATTATTACTCCAATATTCAGTGTCACACACTGTAAAAAGTAAATCCGTAAAATAACAGAAAAAGTACTGGCAGCTCATTACACATTACTTTTATGGACATTTCTGTTAACTCTAAAACACAATGCAATGACGTGTGAAATTCAAAATACTGGTAAAACACCTGTAAAAAATAAATACGGAAAAAATCCTTCAAATTATACAGTATATTGTGCCCTGATTTTACAGATTTTTTAGAGTGCATGATCTTTCAGAAATCATTCTAATATGCTGATTTGCAGCTCAAGAAACATTTCTTATGATTATCAATGTTGAAAACAGTCATATATTGTGGATTCCATGATACATTTTTTCAAGATTCTTTGATTAATAGAAAGTTCAAAAGAACAGCATTTATTGGAAACAAAGTCATTTATAATAATGTTATAAATGCATAGTGTAGTATAGTAGTATAAAATGGTATTGTATATGTTAGCCTGGTACAGACCCTTTCTGGATGGTGGGCTCCAGGTCCTGGTTTCTTTGTAGTGTCTCCAGGTGAGAAGTTGCGTCCGGTCATGCTGTACTCAGGGGCCTTGTGTTTGTACACACCTGAATTCACCACTTGGTAGGTCCCTGGGCCTGGAGTCTGAGAAAATGAATGTTATCATCTTTGCAAAGTAGAGGTAAATATTGTAAAATGATGTGTCCGTACCTTCCGTAGATCTTCATAGAAGCTGCCGATTGCGCTACGACCGCCGAAGAAGACATTTGGGGCAGATGCTTTATTCACAACTCTTGGCCCTAATACTGGGGGAAGCATGTATGCAGCTGGACCTGGAGACAAGTTAATGCATGAAATTTACAGCAAATGCACCTGCCCCAGAAGTGTTGCTGTGTAGATGTGTGGAAATCTACCTGGTGTTTGGTCATTACGAAACAATTTAGTCCTAGCAGACAGAGAGAACGCAGGGGCAGAGTAAAAGGTGGTTTTTATTGCGTTTTCAGGGGAGTAACTGCCTGAAAAGAAAAATCAAAAGCCAGTTTAATCTGTTCTACACTCACAGAGAAAAGGTACAATGCTGTCACTGGGCTGTTCTAAGGTTCTTTTTACCCCTAAATGCTACATATTAATACCTTTAGAAAGTGTGCCACCCCAGTGACAGTTTTGTACCTTTTCTTATAAAAGTGAACATTGTTGTACAGCTACAAAGTCTGTGTGTTTATGTTGTGTAAAAGACCTGGGCCAGGGGTTTTAAAGGGCTGAATATCCTTAGCTCGGCCATAGACGGAGTACACAGGGGTTCCATCCCGACCCACCCTGGTGATGTTGGAGGGAACGAGGTATCCAGGACCTGGGGAAGAGTTGGCCTGTGAGTCACGATGACGTGTGCCGAAGCTGAATGCTGGGCCTTTCTGCATCTGCGGGTCATGGTTGTTCATTCCTGTGTAGTGCAAAGAAATCCCTCAAAGTCATGGCAGGGCAATAGCATATTATTTAAAAAAAATAACACTTCGAAATTATTATTGGTCCTCCGAATTCCAGTTTTTACCCCACTTTTTAGCTCCTGATTTACTGGTTATATTTATTTTTGGGACAAATTTGTACCCAGAAGTGAGCTGAACCTTCTTTTTGAGAACATCATCATTTGTAACGGTATAAAAAAAGTAAATAAAAAAGTGTTTTAGAAACTTAAAAATGTAAAATGTTTTCTCTTAGGTTAGATTTTGGATTAGGTTATCACATTTGTAACTAGCTGTATAAAAACAGTAAAATCTATGCAATGTACCCATTTCTCTGTCTGTGTGTGTGTGTGTGTGTGTGTGTGTGTGTGCGTTTTTGTGACAAATGAGGACATAAATTTGTATAATGACAAGGGTATGACATAGGTATTACAAGGAGAAGGTGACTTTTCAGGACATTACCCCATGTCCCCACTTTTCAAAACGCTTATAAATCACACAGAATGGAGTGTATTGAAAATCTGAAATAGCACAAAGTCTCCTGTAAGGGGTAGGTTTAGGGGTAGGGTTGGTAAAGGGCAATAGAATATACGGTCTGTACAGTAGAAAAACCATTATGCCTATGGGATGTCCCTACTTTCCACAAAAACAAACCTGTGTGTGTGTGTGTGTGTGTGTGTGTGTGTGTGTACCAGTTGCCCCTGGCAGAGAATATGTTGGCCCTGGACTGTTATACATTGCAGCAATGGGGCCCCTTGCCCTGTGGGGCTTCCAAGGACCAACCCATACTTCCATAGGCATGATGTCTGTTGGAAAAAAAGAAATACTAAAACTGCTTGTAAAAATGCTTGTGTTAAATAAAAGTGTTAAATAAAACTAGATTGAAGAGTTTGTAGACAAACTTTTAGTTGGCTTGAAAAATCCTTGCCAGAAAGTTTTAAAAAGTTATAAAAGCTTGCAGTCTGAAGGTTTTCAGTTTGAAGTAGTTTGAAATTTAACAGTTTTAAAGATTAAAGTTTGAATGTTTTCAAGGCAATACAGTCTATCAGAAAAACATATATATGTAGGTATAAAACATTGCTAGGGTACCTGGGGTGGTTGCTAGGGTGTTTCTAGCATGACTAGCATGTTGCTGACATGTTTTAGCATGATTAGCATGTTGCTAGCATGATTAGCATGTTACTAGCATGTTGCAACCATGATTAGCAAGTTACTAACATGTTTCTAGCACGATTAGCATGTTGTTAACATGATTAGCATGTTACTAGCACATTGCTAACGTGATTTGCATGTTATTAGCATGTTTCTAGCATGATTAGCATACTGCTAGTATGTTTTTAACACGATTTAACATTGTAAATGGGAAAAAAAATCAAAATAAAAACAAGGTAAAACCAGCTGATTCAATAAAAAAACAGCTAGAGACCAGTTAAAATCAGCTAAAACCAGCTGATTTAGCAAAAAGCCAGCTAAAACCAGCTGAACCAGTCAAAAACCATCTTAAACCCAGTCTAGGCTAGTTGTCTAGTCTTAGCTGGTTTAAGCTTAAAATAGTAGCTGTTTTAAACTTGGTTGGTCTTTTAGCAGGTCTCCCAGCCTGACCAGCTAAGACCAGCCGACCAGCTAAAGAGGTGCCAAAACCACTTTAAAACCAGCCTGAAAGCAGCCAACCAACTAGATAGATAGATGGATTAGAACTATTTCTAATATATAATTAATAATATATGTCCCTTTTTAGACTTGCACTCTATTCATTTGCTGCTTGTTTTCTTAAAAAAAAAACACACTTGCTTTCTAACCTTTCTGTATTCTATCTGATTTCTTTTCATTTATTATAATTAACAAAAGCAAAAAGACCTCTAACACTAGCTTGCTCTATTCTTTTTCTATTCTATCTGTTTTCTTTTTATTTATTATATAATTTTAAAAACCCTTGCTATGTGTACCGCGTTCAGCTGAGACTTGTTATAGCACTTGCATATCATTGCTCTTTTGTTGATTTTGATTGCTTCCATTGTCCTCATTTGTAAGTGGCTTTGGATAAAAGCATCTGCTAAATGTAAATGTAAATGTAAATATTAGATCGCGTGGAAGCTTAAAATGAGTTTAAATGGGTTAGAAATAGTACATAGAAGGGAAGTTTGATTGAGCCTAATGGGCTTCAGTGTGTTTAGATTTAAATTTTTTGACAGTTGGAGTTTGAATAGTCTTGGCTCATTTGAACAAATCTAAATCTGTGGGATTTTTATGATTTTTAATCTTCAATTTTAAGAAAACCGTATGTCCGATCAGTCTGAAAAGATATTGCAACCCGAGTCAGAACAGTCTGAAGAGCTGGGCTGAGTTTGGTGGTTCTAGCTTGAAAGCTGAAGGAGGAGTAGCCTTCAGAAATTTAGTCTAAGAATAATAAGAAGAAGCTTAAATAGAATATCAGTAAGTTGGCTTTTTCAAGCCTTTAGTCTAATTTAATTTAAATAAAATTAGCATACAGCTCCGTAACTGGTAACTGTAAAAAAAGCGTAAAAGTAAACAGCAAACGAAGTAAAAAATAGCAACTTACCTTAAGTGCAAGATATTAAAAAGTTAGTGAATTTAATAGACTTTCGATCTTCAGGCGAGTTTTGACAGAATGAATATATTATAGCTTAAATTGTGTTCAGTGCGTTGATGATTTTTAGATGTAAGTTACACTTAACTTAACTTAAAACGACAAAACGATGCCAGTTACAATACAGTATCTGCAATACAATACCGTTTTTACTACAATACAGTAAAAACGATGTTATTTACATAGAAAGGTAAAATAAAAAAAAGTTATAAATGTAGCTCGTGAAGAGCTCTAATGAAACTCTCAGCTGCTGCGAGTCTTTGTTTGTTTATAATTGTTTCTTTTTAATCTCTATGGCGCCGTCGCCATGGTGATTCTTTGATGTCATTTTTGAGTGACAGTCCAGTGGCTCTACATGCGACTCCACAGCAATCCGTGCGGTTTTATTCATTATTAAACACATTAAGGTATAACCAAATTCAACAAGTGCTCTCCTTAGAGATATTTCAAATGTTAATTTAATACACACATACTGTATTAAGTTCCTCCGTTTTTAGACCAGATTATACACACATTAAATTTATTAATCGATACATTTTAAAGGAACGAAATATTTTTCTTAAAAAAAAATTTTTTTTTTAACGAAAAAAAATTACAATTATTTGGACACACTTAAAATGTTTGTATATCATTTCACTGGATAATAAAATATCTAAATTAAATAATAAGTTAATTAATTAAAATATATTAAAATGAGATTTTAAAAAATCAAATAGAATATCAGTAAGTTGGCTTTTTCAAGCCTTTAGTCTAATTTAATTTAAATAAAATTAGCATACAGCTCCGTAACTGGTAACTGTAAAAAAAGCGTAAAAGTAAACAGCAAACGAAGTAAAAAATAGCAACTTACCTTAAGTGCAAGATATTAAAAAGTTAGTGAATTTAATAGACTTTCGATCTTCAGGCGAGTTTTGACAGAATGAATATATTATAGCTTAAATTGTGTTCAGTGCGTTGATGATTTTTAGATGTAAGTTACACTTAACTTAACTTAAAACGACAAAACGATGCCAGTTACAATACAGTATCTGCAATACAATACCGTTTTTACTACAATACAGTAAAAACGATGTTATTTACATAGAAAGGTAAAATAAAAAAAGTTATAAATGTAGCTCGTGAAGAGCTCTAATGAAACTCTCAGCTGCTGCGAGTCTTTGTTTGTTTATAATTGTTTCTTTTTAATCTCTATGGCGCCGTCGCCATGGTGATTCTTTGATGTCATTTTTGAGTGACAGTCCAGTGGCTCTACATGCGACTCCACAGCAATCCGTGCGGTTTTATTCATTATTAAACACATTAAGGTATAACCAAATTCAACAAGTGCTCTCCTTAGAGATATTTCAAATGTTAATTTAATACACACATACTGTATTAAGTTCCTCCGTTTTTAGACCAGATTATACACACATTAAATTTATTAATCGATACATTTTAAAGGAACGAAATATTTTTCTTAAAAAAAAATTTTTTTTTTAACGAAAAAAAATTACAATTATTTGGACACACTTAAAATGTTTGTATATCATTTCACTGGATAATAAAATATCTAAATTAAATAATAAGTTAATTAATTAAAATATATTAAAATGAGATTTTAAAAAATCACAATACATTAGTTTAGAAAGGAGAGAGAAGATAAATCAGGGGCAAAAACAACATTGTTTTTTTTGTTTTTTTACTTTATATATATTGATCTTTTTTCTCCTTGATTTTTGTATTTTGTCTTGGTTTTGTTAAATATTGTTTGAAAAAAATGTATGGAAAACCAATGATCAATTTGAAAATATCTTATGTAGGCCTACTATATATATATATTATGTGATTTCCAAAGAAAATATGTAAATAAATAAAGAAATACATTTTACAGCTAAAATATATTTACAGTGGGTACGGAAAGTATTCAGACCCCCTTAAAATTTTCACTCTTTGTTATATTGCAGCCATTTGCTAAAATCATTTAAGTTAATTTTTTTTCCTCATTAATGTACACACAGCACCCCATATTGACAGAAAAACACAGAATTGTTGACATTTTTGCAGATTTATTAAAAAAGAAAAACTGAAATATCACATGGTCCTAAGTATTCAGACCCTTTGCTCAGTATTTAGTAGAAGCACCCTTTTGATCGAATACAGCCATGAGTCTTTTTGGGAAAGAGGCAACAAGTTTTTCACACCTGGATTTGAGGATCCTCTGCCATTCCTCCTTGCAGAGCCTCTCCAGTTCTAAGACAAAACAGTAGCCACTCAGTTTAATATTTTGTTAACTAACACAAAAACAATCATATAGTTTTATACGTAAAAAAATAATACGTGTTTAAATACTTTAAAGGAGGACTGTACACTGAAACAGAAATCAATAACTTGATCAGTCATTCATTTAATCAAACAATGGTTCTTTATATAGATATCTTTATTGGTTTCATTAGTTTAAGCACTGCTCCTAACACTGTGATGGTGTTGTAGTGTTTGGGTAGTGGTTGTGTAGGTACTGCTCTCTCATTGTAACTCTGAGGACCCGTAACAAGATGTTGTTTCTCTCTAGTTCCTCTGGAAGGCGCTGTTAAAATACAAAATCGTGCAAAAGTGCATTTAAAATACTTCTATGTTTATATATCTATTTATTTGGGAAGATTAGCACATGTACACACACAAACGTACTCTTGTTAAAGCTCGAAGGAGTCTCTGTAGTATAGCAAGTTCAAACTGAGGACATCGACCCGCCACTTGACCCACACAGTCCAGCAAACAGCAGATGGTGTGCCGCTGATACTAAAACAACACAAAAGAAATATAACCACATCAAGCTGTACATTGTTGAGCAAGCTGTAAGTACTTCAAAATTTCATGTTTAATTCAATGTGTTGTGTGCCTTTTCTTTGTAATTATTTGTGAAATTACTAGCAATTTCTGAGTATAAATAGTGTCTATACCAGGGGTGTCCAAACTCGGTCCTGGAGGGCCGGTGTCCTGCAGAGTTTAGCTCCAACTTGCCTCAACACACCTGCCTTCAAGTTTCTAGTATGCCTAGTAAGAGCTTGATTAGCTGGTTCAGGTGTGTTTAATTGGGGTTGGAGCTAGACTCTTCAGGACACCGGCCCTCCAGGACCGAGTTTGGACACCCCTGGTCTATACCAATTTTTTAGTGATGTAAAATATGCCTTATTTGTATGACACACACACACACACA